CCCCTTAACTGCTTAATGAAATGTTAACATCACTGTCTTGAAGCAAAGAGACATCTGCATTTACATGTACACTTGCTGTGCTGCTGACAATGACGAATGCTAATGAACCATTCTGGGGAACTGCTGAAGCGTTTTCCCACAGTGTGACAAGTGTGTAGCAAAATAAGCAACTAAAAATCCAACAATTTAGATAATGAAGACCTTTATCAGTTAGTGTGCATAATTGCTTCTCAGCTCTGCCATCAGAACTAACTCTAGCTTAACGACAGTATTTTCAAACATCCAAACTCACAGCTTTAAAGTGCTCATACAGTAGCTGCTCCTAGGCCGTGGGAAGTCCCTCAGAGAGTGTGCTAAAATGAAGAGCACGAGCAGACCAGTGTAATTATCCCCCACACGCACCATCTTTGTTTACTCAAGACATCTGAAGAACTGCTAATATTGGGGCGCTGGGGGAACAACATTACCGGAGCCCACTCTCACTCCTCCACTTGGTCTCAAAGTCACTCAGACATTCACAGTCCAAACTAATAACCAAGTCCTCTGTGCATTTCTATTTATTCTTGCCTTGCAAAGTTTGTCATGTGATGCTCTTGACTCTTCCAGACTAGCCATTTAACATATTAGCATTCATCTATTACCATTTGCATCCTGAGCAAGGCTTTTGCTCTGTCCCTCATGATTCCTTTATTTACCCCATATGACCTCCTAAAGATCATTTCATCCTGATGAGAGCCCTCATGCCATTACATAGAAGCAGCATAAATAAATATAATTCTCACCAGGTAATATTCACAAATGGAAGCTCAAATGAGATTAAACCTCAAAAATGCAGGGTCACTGTTTCAGGGATTAATGTCACTGGAGTTTATCAGCTAATGCATGACTGCTGCTACCAAGGTTGCTGATTTGTAACACTGTTATGAGGACGAAAAAAACATCTTTCTTTCTAACCGTCTTTCTAGAACTAAGAAGCTTTGATGGAAGCATTCAGCAGTTAAAACTGACCTTTAAGATATTCTTCTAAAATTCCAAAAGATAATATGTATATAGCTGCAAATCTTGTTGAAGGGGAAGAGACGTGGTGACTTGACATATTGTTCACATTTTATTGCACGGTTTCCCACAGTTTGAGGCAAAAGAAATTTACAAAGCTGGGACAGCCAGCAGAGTTCAGGGAAGGTACTGGACCATGTTAACACCCTGAGAGGAAGACACTGCAATAGGTGATGCGTGAAACTCAAATGGACGGCAGGAAGTGAAAAACAGAGTGAAGAGATGGAGTAAAGTCTGTACTGTGCTAGTTTAAATGATTACGAGAAAAAGGTATAAACAGAAAATCACAACATATGTGAGATGTGATCCTTACGTTATGAAAAGGAGCGATTTTTTTTTTCTACAGAAGTGAAAGACTTTCCTGCTATTGAGACATACTATCTTGTACATAGACATAATATAATGTACAGTAACTCTGTATTGGTCTCAACCAGCTCCTGAGGGAAATGTGTATCTATGTCTGCTAAGAGTAGGTGGAGCAGGTGGGTTTTTGTAGCTTTTCCTCTGAAAAGAACTTCTGAAAACAATGCAGATGACAGCAATGAGACTGAACTACTACATTTGCTGGCCTGTAAAGGAAAACAATTAGCTTGACGTTGCTATAAAATACCATAGAACTGAGGGAAATTGTTGGTTCTTACTGGTGAACTCTGTGGGTTTACCAGTAAGGGTGGCCCCCTTTTACGTACAAGTAGTCTTGTGATCCATTGTTAATAAAAATATTGATTAAAGGAGCTTTATGGTATACTTTCTGACTTTGTTAGAGTGCCCATTAAAGTCAGCAGAGGTAAGTTTTAAATATCAGGAGTGAGCTGTGAGGAAATTTCAGGTGAGGGGCACTATGACGAGGTAGGGTGTCTTTAAATGTAATGTAACTAAAATGTTTAGATTCACTTTAGCCTAATACGGAGTTCAGTTTATTTTATTGTTAGGTCATGATTCACTCCATCAAGTGTTACATGTTCTGACATGACCACTTCAGGCTTTGAATAGCAGCAGCCTGCTGTGCTTTGTACCCAGGGGAAATTTTCAATCCTACAGAAGGTGAGATCTCATCAATTTTCACAACATAAATGTCTTGCAACCAACTTAAGGAAAGGAGTGGCGTATTTCCTTGCCTACACACTTTAAGGCTGATGTGCTGTAGCCTATGTGATTGTGGCCACATCAGCAGCCTCAATCAGAGCTTTTTTTAACAGATGTAGTTTCTTGATTTGAGTCAAAGATGATGAAGCCTTTCATATGATGGAGTGAAAGATTTGTCACTCTCACACTGCCTGACCTGAACTTACCAATATAATCACAAATCTAAGTCAGAGCTCTTTTCAGTTTTTCTAGCATCAGGCCATTTTATGTTTTGAAATATCCTGCGTCCACTCTGTGTATCAGTGTTATCAGCAAAATAAAATGAAGATGATGCTGCAACCATTTGGGATTAGAGGATGTCAAAGTAATAGCATGTTTAATTTTTAATCAACTCAGCGGGCCCACTTCTACAGTGAATGCTGCATTTGGGAGCAAGCGGCACATTCTGTTTGTACTCCCACACATTTGGCTGTCATAAATAGAGCCACACAGTGCAGATGGTAGGAGTCTTTGGGAGCCAAACAGCCGTCAGTAAGCAGACTTATTGATTTTCGGTAGCATGACGGGTACAAAACTCAGCTCAGAGGGAACGACTGGGGCAACTGGAGCGTCTAGTAAAGGGTCTGATTATCCTTAAAAGAGCATGCATTTACAAACACACACATTATGCATGCACACTCACTTGATGTGAGAAGAAACAGATGCCACCTCCTTTTACAACCCGCCCACTCCATACAAGATGTCCCACTTTCTGTGAGAACCCACAAACAACTGTTTCCTTCACACATGACACAGGCTGCCAAGGCTCTAGGTGTAGTGTGTTCTCATAAATGCAGGTGTAGATCTGTGAGTTCCTCTGCGTCCACTTTGTGAGCTCTGCTCCATTTGGGAAGTCATGTAATTGAAGCATTACCGTAATCTGCAGCTCCAAATCATTTGTAAGCTTTTAGTGCAGGAAAGTACTCTGTAAACTTTTTGATGATGGATTGCTTGATGTGCTCTCTCATCTTAAAAATGATACTTCACCCATCTTTTTGGTGTCAAATAGACTGTATGCCGAAAGGTGGATGTTAAATGTTTGTAGGTGCATCTCCCACAGAGACTGATGTTCTCTGAATTCATTGCACTTACAGTGGACTCCAACTGTGATAGATTTAATTGAGAGTATAAATGATCAAACAGCCAGTGCACGGTCTGCCAAGCCAGCACAGCACTCTAAATGGGTAGAAAGAGTTATGGCACATCTCAAGTTTGATAAAGTGAAATACTCCACAAGGGGCTCGAAAAGAAGATTTTGTAAGTCTAGAACCCCTTAGCACCTTTTGGTTATTTGTGTGGATGGATGTTTGCATGAAGTAACTAAATCTGTCTACAAGCATCTCTAAAAATTGCTGATCAACACTTGTATATATTTAGTTTTTTAATCCATGTAAAAAAAACAAACTATCTTGTGCATAACTCTCCATAAAACCACAACTTGTCACTTTTATTTTTTGGTTTTTGGAAGGAGGATGCTAACTATATTCTCATGTAACTTTTGGCAAGAAAGCAAATACTGTACATGTCTGTTCCACAATGTCAAGCTTTTCCTTTGAAAGAAAGCAGCATCCACCTCATTTCAAAGTTATCCGTTGGACGCACAACACCCGAACTGCCTTTTTTAGACTTTTGTGCAGGTATAACAGTGTTATGCCTCTTCAGTCTTTGCTACATGGTGTGGACAATCATTATTCACGCAAGTGCAGGTCGCTTATAAGGATATAAGGAAAACATAAACAGACAATACAAACAATAAGAGAATACAACTATTTAATAATACTGTCAGTGTTCTTGTGAGAGTGGTCTTTCAATAAGAAGCGCGACTTTCCTACAGATGTGGATCTGTAAAATTTTGGACTGGGTAGCCAGGCTGGGGCACAGACTCAGAGTGGGGTGGCACAATTAAAATAAATTTAACCCCTAGTTCTGTGAAATAACAAATCATACATTGTTAAAAATCTAATTGTTTATTTTGTTTAAAAATGAGAAACAGTGCTTTTTTGAGCTAATGTTGGCGGTGCCATCCGGGAATATCACTGCTGCACATTGATGTTTTCCTGCAAGAATGTTTGGATTATTTACTGTATGTTGTTTTGGTTTTTTATGTTATTTGGAGCGGACCAACAGTCTGCTTAAATTACTGACATTAAAGTGAGTGTACAGTAACAAAAATTACCGTATATGTTTAACATTCATCACATTTGTCAGCTGAAAATCAGCCTACTGAAACACTGACTGATACATAATACACAGTGGACTAATTAGTGGGAATAAGAAGATAATGATGAGGAAATGGCAAGGAGAGTCATTCATAATTTAGCTTCAGGTGGATAGTTTTCTACTTGCATCAGGAAACCCATTAGCATTTGCTTCAGTCTCATCTCAAACATGTAGAAGAGTTGCTGCACCTTAATGACTGCTTTTATCCTACAGACTGCAATGCTTTATTCATGATAACAAGAGTGGACCACAAGTTGTTTTCTGTATATCAGAAGTTGTACAAGTCTTATTTGTAAAGTGCACAATCAGAGCTAACAGTCAATGTTAGTTCATTCTTAACCTTGGAATCATTTAACAAAAAAATCTTGTTGTGTCACATGGTTTTCATCAAAAGATTGCTCTCTACTCAGTAAACTGTATATGTTCAGACTTAGACTTTCAATAGTGATGCTGTCTGAAGGACATACTGTAGCCATGTTGTACTGATAAGGAGAGAGAACAGGGGAGAAATGACATTAAAACTGTTCCTCAGGTTGAGTCAGCAGTGCTTATCCTGTCAGTCATTAATAAGTCAAACTGTGTGCATGTGTCTGAAACAGGTGCTACCATGAAGCTGATGGATGAGGTTGCTGGCATTGTGGCAGCTCGGCACTGCAACACCAATGTTGTCACAGCCTCTGTCGACGCCATCAACTTCCATCGCAAGATCAAGAAAGGTGAGGGCGACACAGAGACCATGCTCAGCACTTGAAGTCACTGATATAGAAAAATATCAACAGGTTTGAAGAATATGCATCTCTACAAAACAAGTATTACAGTGTTGGTACTACATGTGCTGTTTATTCTACAGCTGAATTTCCGACTTCCCTGAAGCTGCTTGTCTTTTACTTTTGCCTCTTGCCCGTTAATGAAGTGCACTCTGATAGCTTGCCGATGTGGAAAAACTCAGCAATCTATAAAATGTGCCTCAGACAGTGCTGTTTTAAATTGGGCTAGCCAGCGTTAACAGCTGTCAAACTGTCACTAATCAAGACCAGATGTGTTTTATGGGTCCGCTGCTACATCTGGAAAAACACAACTTTGTTATGACTGCACAGTTTTCCATTACCGAGCTTTGTCTCTAAGCTGTTTCCTCACTGTGACACAGCGAGAGCAGTGAGAAATCATTTATACTGGATTTTCCACAAGCATCTTATTTCAAAGTGATTCAGTGATTTTGACAAACACCATCATCTACCAGACCTTTATCTGGGTCATAATTGGCCACTCATGACAGTGACACTGTTTATACAGCTTTCTATTAAATGGTTCATTGGTAGCACAGTGTGGAAGACACAGTTAATGCAATGTGCTTTAAGATCGGGAGGAACAATAACCCAAGAAAGAACAAACAGATCCTATACACACCCACGGACAAAACTGGAAAATGAAAGTAGTGTTAGCATGAGACAAACTGTAGGTCTAACATGTTTATCGAGGAGTAATCAGCAATTAAATACTTCCTGGGGAGAACGGAACGGCCGCTAACCAGAGAAAGTTAAACCTGCCTAGAGGCTACGACAATGATGTTACACTATGAGTGTTACTTACTTTATTTACAAGATCGAGCTGCTGCAATAATATATTCTTTTATTGTGTTTTACAAACGGACTACTACTGACTGCTGCATTATATTTTATATACATTATACAAAAAATGCTGATTTGTTATTTGGTAAGTAGCATTTTTTCTTATTTTTCTTCATTTTTAAATATTGTATCATGGACTGTATCGTGGCAATATCATACCATGCCTTTTTGGGATCATTACATCCCTACTGCATATTGATACTGGCCATCTCTCTCTCTCTCTAGCTTCACTGAAAACTATCCAATAAAACAGAGAATTACAAGTTTTTATACCTGACAGAGACAGTTTGACACAAACTGTTAACAGTTACTCCTGAAATTTAAGACATGAGCAGAGAGGGTTTTATGCTTAAAAATGTGTCTAATAGTATTATTCAAGAGACAAGAGAAGAGAGTATTTTGACAGACTATGGATCCAAAATCTTGGGTTCAATTGAGAACAGAAATGCTGTTATTACAGTGTGTTCAGTCATGTTTTAATAGAACATAAGTATGTCAATTGTATCTGAAAGCAGTTTCTTCATAGTAGTGTAGAATAGTGTATAACATTTATGGGTTACAGTTGCCCTTGGCTCCGTTCATGTGCTAGACATGATGTGATCCAGGCATCCACTGCTAACAGTCAGATGTTATGATTACCTCAGGATAAGATGTTAACAATTTACGAGCTATGCCTCTCCCCAGTGTTGAATTATGAAGTGGTAAGAACATTTTTATACTATATACAGCTCTGCACAACTGTGCCAGGTCAGCTCTTAAAACGGCATTGCATTTAAAATACATGCCTTTTAAAATACGGGGGTGCATTTAAAACTTTTAACATGCATTTTCTGGGAGTTCCAGGATCAAAACACTAAGCAGCACAGTTTGGTGTAGATCCACAACTTGCTCTTATTCACTCTAGTTGCTGACATTGTCTATCCTCTGAGTTTAGGCCATGGTGTTATGTCACCAGGTGTTTTACCATTTTGTTTTTGTGCAAAAACTGAGCAAATGTAACATTTCAGTGATTCAGCATGTACTTATCTGAACTAAATAAACTAATGATGATGGACCAAGGTGTTTGAAACATTCTTTGTGGTCAAAAGGTTAGTGTGAAGCATCACTCTGTGGTTACATGCCAACGGTAATAGTTAAGAGACGGAATTAATTAATTGGTGAACTAACACAAAAACTATTTAGAAGGTAGTTTAACTTGCAATATGATGTATCCAATTAAAAACTATTGTTAAAATATTACAGTTAGCATTAAATTAAGCAATAAGTTTATCTTTTATAACTTTACTTTTTGTTATTGAATTTACTCATTTGTCTTCCTTTCGTTCTCCATCTCACACCTCATTTGTCACCCTTCTGTTTTATCAGTATTTGATGTTATCAGGATGGATGCACTTGCGTCACAGCTTATGAATCACGTTTATTAATTTAATTTCATATGCTTCACTTACACAAAGAAGTGTTTAGTTTTTCCACCTAACCACAGACTTCGCAAAAAGTAAAGTAGCTGCAATGTTGCACCAAACTGTGTGTTTTTACGCTAAGAATGTAAGTCCGCAAAGTACAGGCCATTGATGTACTGTACCACAGGAGTGTTCATTCAATGCTCTTCTCCTTTATCCATAATAGCAAAATGCTCAGATGTACAAAGAATGAGAAGAAAGGCATGAAACTTCAAAAGGTGAATGTTAGATGAAAGGAGATTTCAGGGAGTGAGAAAGAAAGGAGCGCTATGGGTGAGACAGGACGTGTCAGAGAAGGAAATAAAGGGAACAGTGTAACACTCACAATGATGTTCTTGTTTATTGATTTTTCTTTTTTTTATTTATTTAATTGATCCAACCTGATTTGTATAACCCTGCCATTTCTAAGGATTGTTTGCTCCAATAAGTAACGATAGATGGAATGATGTGTGATTGATGGAAACTCAGTCTCCTGGCTTTGTCTTCACACTGTTCAGAGTGGAGACAAGTGATTGGTAGGACTGCTGGGATTTAAAAGTTAAAGCTTCTGTGGGCTATGTATTACCGTTTACAAGGAAAAGGCTTATACTTGTAATGTATACACACAGAAATGCGATGCATAGATGCACAAATATAAAACCAACCACTTAGTAACCACCCATAAAGTCTTTTATTCTTGAAAAATTATACCACAAACTTTGAAAAACACCTCCAGTAAAGCATAAATCTCACCTTTATGGGGCTTGTCCTTGTTCTGCTGCGCCAAGCAGCAGTTTGCTCAATACTGCCCCCAGTGGTCGGGGTGATACCCACATCAACTGGTCCAGCGCCACAGAACCAGCTACCAACCAGAGAAAGTTAAACCTACCTACCAGCTACTAAAAACACTGATGTTCCACTTTGAGAGTGACTTCTTTTGTTTACAAGATCCAGCTGCTGCAATAATATAACTTCTTTTTTTATTTGATAAAAGGACTACTACTGGCGGCTGCATTTTTTTTTCAGTCCATGAGTGCCAGTGACTATTCACGGCAATTTTTTGCACATACTTAGGCCATGGCTGGCTACTTTTATTTTATATATTTAATATATTTTAATAAAGAAGAAAAGCAGGAACACTTTAGCTTAAAAGGAAACTCATACAAAAACACTGATTTATTATTTAAAAAAAGAAATGTTTTTATCTTTTTTCATTTATTAATATTGTAACAAATATTCTACTTTGGACTTTTTATCGTGGAAATATCATACCACAAGTTTCTGGTATTGTTCCATCCTTAAGAGGTATCTCTAGGAATGCATAAAGTTAGTAAATGTATCCTGGAAGCAAACATCATACTTATTTAAAGCCACATCTAGACTACACTTTGGAACCTGTGCAGAATCAGGAATTTCTTCATTTTGCTTAAATCAAATAGTTCCTAAAAGGTACAGCAGTAATGTACTGTACTATATGCGTCTCTCAATACCAGCAACAGTAGAAATTATCTCGTCTGTCTAATGTGTTGATGGAAGAAGTGACGGCTGTTATTTCAGCTGCATATTGCTTTGTTCTCTTCATCTTTAGCTTTCTCTGGCCACTTTCCAATGAAACAGTGTATATCAACAAAGCAAAGAACCTTCCGTACAGGTCCCAGTAGACTTCTTGGTCTTGTTTTTATAACCTAAGAAACATACTGTCTTTTTCCAAAGGCAAGAAAAAGAGTAATAGAAAAGCTAAAACTCTACTCACACAGGCAGTAGCTATAATAGTAAAACTAAAGCTACAATCCAAGCTTAGCAGCACATACAACATGAAGCCCTGGCATGGACTCTCCTCACAGCAGCGGTATCAAACAGCGCCTCAGAGATGGGGCTCTGCGACTTTCTGACACTGGCCAACTTTCAGCACCGCGCAAGTCGACTTTTCACAAAAATCAATTATTAACAATGAAAGTCTTAAAAAATTACCCAGGCTCATCAAGACTCATTTTTGTGTAATGTCAATGAGTATACTGTAGGACATTTCACTCATACCTCGGTGCCATAGGTAGTTTATCAGGAGGAGTCTTGACTTGCTTCTGGTGCTAACATGTAAAAACCCTCATCAGGCCACAAGGTATAACGAGAGAGAATACATACATGTGCTAGGTTAGCAACCTTCATGGAGATGAATGGACCATTACTTTGCCGTACCTTATCATGATTTCATATAGCATCTTTGCACGTAGTCACCTTCTCACAGTTCGTTGCTCACCAGGATCATTATCACCTGGATGCCATTTCTCAGATCTTTTATTGTGTAGGATCTCTATAATCTCATAACACCTATCTGACAGACGGGTGACAGTATGGTTAGCAATCAGTTTTTCTAAGCACCCACCAAAACATCCTTTTTAGAGCTTTCATATTTTCCTCAATGCACAGAAAACTGCCTGACCTTAAGTCCCAGAGCTAAGGGAGTCGTGTCTCAGTCTTGGACAGTAACAGATGGAACTTTATATTACTGAAGAGTTTCCTGTTTCTGGCACACATTTTGTGAACTGGATGCCTTCTGGAAAATACATTGTTGAATGTAGAGAACACCATCTGTGGTAGAGCCATGGACACATTACAAGAACTAGATGCGCATTCCAAGATGCTGCCTGTTTATTCTGATGAAAGGTGGTCACTCAGTGAGTAACGCCTAAAATTGTTCTCTCCTCTTACTTGCTTCTGTATTGCAGCCCACTGCACATACACATTAGCATCTCTTTTTTAGACCTTGCTGGCTAAACCCATAGACTTAAATTACATTTTTATAAAGACAGTCTATAGGAAAAACGCAGCTGAACAGATCCATAAAAAGAGCACAACATTTTTTCTGTTGAAGTGAATGATCAGAAGTATGATCACAGTTTGATTTTGGAAAGATGCCAAAGGAAGTCTTAATGAGACAGAGTTCCCTGATTATTTCAGTAAGAGATGCTGTTATACCAGTGGATTTGTCACACCATAAAATGGCCATTATCACTTGTTGTTGTTGTTTAGGAGGGGCCTCTTATGCCTCCCCGGAGGCTAGGAGGTTGTTAGTCATGGATAGATGTGCACTTGTGGTGAGTAGGTGACCTCTAGTGACTGATCAATAATTATGACATACTGTAAACCCTGGAGTGAGTTCAGTTTAGATGTAGAGGAGAGTGGGGGTAGATGGGTGTGCCATAAAATACAGGACTTTCTAATGGTACAAATGTTTTCATTTCCAGTCCAAAATAGTGTTTTGTTTCCAAGACTGTTGTAACGCAAGACAAAATCTTTTCCTAAATTGGTGTACTGCAACTGATTGGTCAGTGGAGACAAAAGAGAACTCTCTAATTGGTCAAAAAACAAAAGCAAAGCAATTCAAGTCTTTACAGTTGATATCAGAAAAACACCTACTCATTAGCATCCCATCGAACTAGAGGGGATCCACTGGTCTCTGCTTTTCCTTCCTTGCACAAGACAGACATTTTTGGCCATCCCCAGGTCAAGACCATTATTTCCATGATGACAAGAGGTTGCTTGACAGGAAAACTTTGGTTGCTTTGATCTTTTGCTGATCAGTGCTGCCATTTTTTCACCATGAGGACAGTCTTAAAAATCAATGTCATGAGATGTCATGAGTTTTTTTGCAGAGTCGCCTGCATGAGCACAAGCTTCCTACCTGAACAACAATCAAGCAAAAACCGTCCTCATAAAGTCAATGTTTTTCAGCACATACTCAGATAAAACCTTTTTCACTTTCGATGTACTTATTATTTAAGACTCTGTTTTATAAGATCTCAGTCATATATAGGAGATCTACTCAGACTGCACGGATAACACCTTCTCTCCCGTCTCTATGGCAACAGCAGTAATAATACAGTACAGACACATCAAAGAGAATAAAGAAACACATCAGCAATGGCCAGTGCTGTTAGTTGACGGCTTTTTCCCAACTCTCTGCAGTGACAAAAGGAGAAAAGCAATCATTTTTGAGGAGTCAAACATATTAGATAAATTAGATGAATCTCAGATTGAAATCAAAATGATGTGATGTCCTCTAAATATATGCTGTCATTAATACCTTGACAGGGGTTTTGGTTTTGACATATCTTAGCACAAAAACACTGATCTGAAGATCTTGCAAAAGGACAGACTGATTGGCTGTAGTTGTTAAAATCTTCCAATCAGCGATCATTAGCCATGTCACTTTGCTGACTCTTTCAGGGGACCACACATCAAGAAGTTCATGATGCAACAATGTGAAGTAGACAGCAAGAGCAAATGATTTTTCTTGGCTGACTATATCAACATATCAGCTTATTTCATATTCAGTTTGTGTTCAGTGTAACTATACATGAAGGCCATCAGTTGGATCTCCGCTTGCTTTATTTAAGGTGAATATTAATATGTTCACTCAAAGTTCATTTTGGTGTGAGATAGCTGTAATGCAGTCTTTCTGTATTAGTAAAACCTGATAACTCGCTTGCAATGTCCTTATTTTTTGCTCTTGAAAACCTTTAAATAACATAGCAATGTTAATAGAATGACTGTAGGATGGTTGTTTGAATCTAAGATTGTAAAAGGTTGAAGTGTTCTTCTGAAATGTTATTAAATCAAAATGCATGGGGTTGGAGGCATCTTTTCCTTTCCAAAATAAAAATGTTACTGAAAACTGCTATCGTGCAAAAACATCAAACATATTTTTCTTATCTTATGCCTCTTCTCCCAAGGCTGCGTGGTGACGGTGACTGGGCGGCTCACATTTGTCAGTAACAAGTCTATGGAAATTGAAGTGTTGGTAGATGCTGCTTCGCTGGTGGAGGCAGAGGGAGGGAAATATCGTGCAGTCTCGGCCTTCTTCACCTTCATCTCCCTGGATAAGTTCAATAAGCCTCTGCCCGTTCCTCCTCTTAAGGTTGGTACCATTCAGGCTGTGCTTTCTGAAGTTTGTCCTTTTATTGAAACTGATTATAGAATTGAATTTGACCCTATACATCATTTTATATCCACTTCATACATCTACACAGAGTTAAGAGTAGATTCTTTGTGTCTGAGGTATGGTGTACCCTATTTTCTACTCAGATTTTTACAGTGGAAAAAAATCACACTCTAGATTTTTGTCATGATTTTCAGCTGTGGCAACACCTTTAAAGACTTTGATACCTATTTCAGCTTTGCTTATTATGAAGCTGATGAAGATTAAATTGCAAACCTGCTCATGGTGAAATGTAAAACTTACCCTACAGGCCTGGCCAAAATGAAAATATGTTTAGGCTTTGTTTTAAGCTCTGTCTGGATAGTAGCATTCCTTGTTTCACAACATGAGACTGACTGTTTTTCATCTTAGTGTCTTTTCAGTGCATTGAATTCTTTGCTGTTTTCCCACTCTGAGAGACAGAATTAAAAAAAAAAATTCAGGAAATCACATTGTATGATTTTTAAAAAATTTATTTGTCTTGCACTGCTGAACATAAGTATTTGAGCACCTGAGAAACAGCAAGAATTCTGGTTCTCAAAGACCTGTTACTGTGCCTTGAAAAAGTCCACCTCTACTCCACTCATTAATCTAAATTAGTAGCACCTGTCTGAGCTCTTTAAAGACACCTGTCCACCCCACAGTCAGTCAGATGCCAACTACTACCATGGGCAAGACCAAAGAGCTGTCAAAAGACACCAGAGACAAAATTATGGACCTCCACAAGGCTGGAAAGGGCTACGGGGCAATTGCCAAGCAGCTTGGTGAAAATAGATCAACTGTTGGAGCAATTGTTAGAAAATGGAAGAGGCTAAAGACGACTGTCAATCTCCCTCGGACTGGGGCGCCATGCAAGATCTCACCTCGTGGGGTATCACTGATGATAAGAAAGGTGAGGAATCAGCCCAGAACTACAAGGGAGGAGCTGGTCAATGACATGAAGAGAGCTGGGACCACAGTTTCAAAGGTCACTGTCGGTAGAACACTACGCCGTCATGGTTTCAAATCATGCATTGCACAGAAGGTTCCCCTGCTCAAGTTTTCCTGTAGTTCTTGACCAGGTTTGTACACACTGCAACAGGGATTTTGGCCCACTCTTCCACACAGATCTCCTCTAGATCTGTTAGGTTTCAGGGCTGTCGCTTGAGCAACGCGGAGTTTAAGCTCCCTCCAAAGATGTTCTATTGGATTGAGGTAGGCCACTCCAGAACCTTGATATGCTTCTTACGGAGCCACTCCTTGGTTATCCTGGCTGTGTGCTTCGGGTCGTTGTCATGTTGGAAGACCCAGCCACGACCCATCTTCAATGCTCTGACTGAGGGAAGGAGGTTGTTGCTCAAAATCTCACAATAAATGGCCCCATTCCTCCTCTCCTTAATACAGTGCAGACAGGTGCTACTACTTTAGATTAATGAGTGGAGTAGAGGTGGACTTTTTCAAGGCACAGTAACAGGTCTTTGAGAGCCAGAATTCTTGCTGTTTCTCAGGTGTTCAAATACTTATGTTCAGCAGTGCAAGACAAATAAATTCTTTAAAAATCATACAATGTGATTTCCTGAATTTTTTTTTTTATTCTGTCTCTCACAGTGGGAATGCACCTACAATGTGAATTTCAGATCCCTCCATGATTTCTAAGTGGGAGAACTTGCAAAATTGCAGGGTGTTCAAATACTTCTGTTCCTCACTGTATTATCCTTAAACATAGAGGGCTGAATGTTAATATCCCTCCAACACCTCTAGACAGCAATGTCTGGCTGACTCTGTACTTAAAGTGCCCATGGCATGCCCATTTTGCTCATTTCCAGCCATTTAATGTTTAATCTTGGGTACCTTTAGATCAGCTTGGCACCCCTCATAACTCCAAATACTTTGTAATTGTTTCAGACTCAGAGAGCCAAAAAGCCTCTTCCTTAAAACAAGGGCACGGTTTGTGAACACGTAGAACTCCTGCTGCCAGTGTCGCAAGTGGACAACACAACGAACTGCAACAGCATTAATTAATTTGAATTTCTCCTCCATAGATACTGTAGGTAAACAACAATTTGTAACCCTCTAACCCTCTAAGCAAAGCAGGTAATTGAGAAACCCCATATTTTAACTGGCATAATGCAGACATAGTAACTTCTCCAGCCTTATAACAATTCTCTCTAACGTTACAGAAACAAGGCATTGCAACGTATGTTTTTTTAAACTTACCATTAAGTCCCACCTAATAGTGAAAACATCACTCCCTTTCAAGTAGCTCTGAGGTCGGTAAATCCAACCAGTGGTCACTGTGTCTTCCCTGACACGACCACATACAGTCCCAAAGCAGTGAAACTAATTCCAACAGGTAGAGTAGCTCTGACAATAACATCATGGGTCATTAATCCGCTCATTAACCAGCAACACATCACATGCGCCAGACACACTGGCCTCAGGCAGTCAAAACAAATGGGTACTGTGCTAAGGGGGAATCCAGCGTTGATGAGCTGATCATTCACCGTTGTGGGGGGCTTCACTAGCCAGTCGCTTGTAGGTTAGACCCGGTCAGATAAAACAGTGAGTCCCTGTACAGGAGCATTCCCGAACATGCAGTAACCTCAGGCGCTGTATTTTTCTCCACATCCTCTGGTCACAGTGCAGCAGGAGGGAAACTATATTCACAAAACCAGGCACAGTAGAAAAATTCTGCTTTTACAGTGGCACTGGTGGATGTCAGGCAAGCTCACTTGAACGTGCAACGGCCTGGATTGAATGCCCATTCAAGGAGATCCTTAAACTATCACATAATACTTTATTTTGTTAGAATAAAAGTCTTGCAAGTGAGAGTTTGCCAGATGTGTATAAGCCCAGTTGCTTCTGCATAGAAGTACTAGGACATACTGTATGTACATCTCATTTTTTGAGCTTTAGGTCACTTCTAAGATGAGATTTCACCGTTGTAACATTGTAGATAAGTCAAAAAACAAGGAAAAGCATGCCATGGGCCCTTTAAGAGTATTGCCAGGATGTAAAGAGTGCAGACAGGAGAGAGACACCTGCAGAATAAAATCATCCAAACACTGTAAACACAAACCATCTGTTTTACTCAGTACATTTAATTTATTTCCTGGCACCATTCACATACTCTAATTGTCTCTGTAATGGTCTCTTTAAAACCGGTCCAACTTTTGTTTGAGATGAAGTCAACTTGTCAGTGAGTGGGATTTGGACAAGAGAGGAGCCATTAAAATTACATTTGGGCACTAAACAAAGGACTTAGTGGATTGCAATTAATTTAAATATTACAGATTATTCCATTTCAGTGATAATCATTTTGGTCTGCTCTGTGACTCAATAATTCATATTCAGTTTGATATAAATCTTAATTAACATTTCTTTTTTAGTTGTGTGTTGTTTTTTTTTTTTGAAAACACAATACACAGCACAACATGGTATGAATCAGTTTCTTGATTTGGTAATGACACTGGCATGTGCTGAGTGGGCAGCATCAGTAAAATTTGACAGCAGGTCATTATTCTTTCAAGTGCACACTTGTACAAAATTCATAGATTGCACCTGGGGTAATCATTAAACTTTAATTACTGTATGTGCAGAGTACTAAGTAAGCTGGGGAAATGCATCAAAAGTGAAGACCAAGCTGAAATATTTTAGGCAACATAAGTCAAGAATAAAGCTGTTTTCCAGGTTTGCCTGCATCTTTGCTTTTACCTTAACTAAATAATGAACCAAAGCCTGTAGAGAATTACAGTATGTATGCTATAATTTACTGTTTAACTCACCCTAAGACATTAAGAAATGTGGTCCTGCTTCAAGTGACACGAGCATGTACTAAGAAATTTGCAGGAAGAAAGCCAAGCTTGTTAGTGTGGATGAGAGTCAAGTGTGAGAAATGGTTGTTACAGTATAAGGTGTGTTGTCAAGCTACCAAGTGCTGCAGTGACTCCTCTTACCATAAACATTCTCACACACTTAATGGCACATCATCAGCCTTCAACACTAAGACACTTCTGTATGAAAACAATTCTCTGCCCCTGCCAGACAGAAATGTGCATCAAATCTGCATCTCCGCTTGTCGGCTTTTTCAAAAGTGCCTGTCAGTCTCCACATTTCCATTTCACAAAACCCACATTCGGTGTGCCCATTGTCTGCCTCCATGCATTCGTTTCCTCGCACAAGCTGCTTGTGGCTTTTGTTTTAATTGAAGGGAATTGCGACGATGATTAGAGTCATTGTAATTTCTCTGTTCACCTCAATTTTATGAAAGGTGAGGCAAAGAAAATCTGGTGATTTTAATAATTCATCCTCAACACTATAAATGGAAATCTAGAACCCAGATGTAGCATGTCAGATAAACAAAGGCAGGAATAGAGAAATTTGTGTGTGCATGTGTTAGAGAAAAATGTTGGCCCTAGATACAGTATGGACAGACTTTGTGTTTGTGTGCAAGAGATACACAAATGGGGAATTTGAGAGTGGGCTTTGCGTGTGGATGGGCACATGCTTGAACAGATCACTGAGCTTAAAAGTGTGTGTTTATTTTTACAGTATGAGCAAGAGAAGGATGAGGCACAATCACAGCTATTTTCGGCTTTACAACTGTTTACTGATGGCTCAAACACAGGATGAGATTGAGCACCCATCCAAACTCTACGGATGGCGGTAAATCTATTCATAGATGTCGGTCCCTCTGTGTATAAAAGAGACACGTCACATGCAGGAAATTATGTTTAACATGTCAATCCAATTAACACCTGCATTTCCCTTAACAGTGGAGATGGGAGTGTGAGGGATGGAAATGCAGCAGTGACATTAATTAGCCTTGGAAACCAAATGATGGAACAGAGTCCGACAAACGTTTGGCCTCCCTGTTCTTCCATTTTTTACTTGATATATTATTATTATTTTTATTATAAATGCTTTCACATAACATTTACATGTTGTGATAATTGATTTTT